CGAGAGGGGCAGGTGCGGCTTGTTGTGTCAGAGGGCACCGATCAGTGGTTGCCGATCATGGCGTGCGGTTCTCCACAAACCACACAAAGAAGTTTGAAACGGCAATTATCCCCTGAAACGCAGCCGAGCGACGAGTTATAGTAGTGGCAGCGGCGAGCGCCCTGCACTTTCTTGGCCGCATCCGCAATGAGCGTCCACTTTACGCTTCTTGGCGGGATCCTCCTTGACGACCTTTTTCGCCTCTTCTTCTTTGGAAGGAGGGTTGGGCGGAGGAGGCGGGGCTCCCTCGTCCCGGACCTGATCCGGATGGTCCGATCGACTATAGCGAAATACCGTCGAGCGAGAGGCGCGAGCTGCGGGGCGAGATCGCACATGACTACTGAACTGCTCACCCTGGCACAGAAAACTCGGAAACGTCTTCGCTCACGGGTCCGTGAAAATCTTGCTAGAGCACAAAAACGAGCACATCTGTGTGCTCGGGGAGGGATCTCACCGAGGTCTTCGCATTCGCACTCAGTGATCTTATATAGCGACTGCATAGCGTTCGCTCAGTCCCGGTACCATCTATGTTCATGCCCTGGTATTTCAGACTGAGATCCTTAGCGGAGCCTGAAGCCGCCCTGGCCTTCGTGACATAGGTCAGGGAGCGATCGCCGAGGTCCACCAAGTTGGTGTCATCCGCCTCGAATTCGGGTGGAGACTTCCAGTCCGAGGCGATCCTTTTCGTCAGGCGCTTGCCCATCTCGATCGAGATTTCCTTCCGGCTACGCGCGTACTTCAAGACCAGTTGACTTGGGTCTTTCCAATTCGCTTGGAGTCCGATCTCCTTGTCTGGCTCGCCGCGAGCAGCGTGTCTCCTGAATGAGCTTCAAGAACTCCTTGAGCTGCGCGAGCGGGATCCTGCCTCGCTTCAAGTCATTTGAAGCTGCAGTAGTGAGCACGTACCTCAGCCACAAGATGCTCTGCTGGTAGCTGGCCGGGGTAGAGCTGGTCGCCGCCCGTCTCCTCCACCCTGACCGCGCTGATCCGCTGGTACTCCACCTCCTCGTGATCGTGGAGGACGTCGGTGAACACCTGCGACGTGATCGCGGCCGAGGCGCGCGAGAAGCATGTCTGCCCTCTCGGTGAGCATCTTTTCGGCATGACCAGCCGAAACGACCTCACCCTCCACCGAGACCCTCTGGTCGAACATCCGCTGAGCAGAAGTCGGCACATTCGTGATCGCCGAAGTCGCCGAAGATCCGAGCTGCCTCATCGCGTGCCTGGCCGTCTCTTCCATGAGTGCGGGTGGGCCACTTCGAGCTTCCAAGGCCATGCCCGCTTCACGCGGAGCTTCGATCGAGCCCTCACGTGGAAGTCTTCGCGGTCGAGCGGGAACTCATCGGTGTAGGTTCCCACATCCTCAGGGTTCACCGCGACCGCGCTGTGTGGACCTTCCACGCCCTGCTGACGGCAGGCCTGGACCGTGTTGATCAGCGCAGGCCCAGAGATATGGCTGACCGAGAGCCATGCGGACGTTAACAACCGGATCGATCTCAAGCGCGGGCGCGATCGGTGTCATTGCCATAGCCTTCCTGCGAAGACCGGGAGGTGACCCGGAGCTCGGCCGATCGTGTAGACTCTGGCCCCTAGTCACCGAGACTAGCCATCCCACGAACACTGGGATGACGATCGAGGGCCGGAACCATCCCTCATTGGCCGGTACCGCGTCGCAGAGCTGCTGCTGGTCCGAGAGGTCAGAGTCCGACCGGTATCCTCGGAACACCCAATGGAAAAGGACCTCATTTCCATTGAACACCTTCACGTCGGCATAACATGACTGGCCCTGTGAAGGGCTGAAAAGCCGGGTGCGAAAGAGCCTTGCTCGCATGGGAGTCCCACTGAGCACAGCGACCTCCCGTCTTGGCCGACATCGAGAACAGCAGAGAACTGCCTTATAATGCCATCGAGAGGTTTAGTTCGCGAACAGTGATAGCCTGAGTTCGGGGGCATGACCTGGTCCCTCTCCGTCAGAACATTGATCGAGCTCGCGGCATTGGAGATGATCTCCTCCGCTAGCCAGTTCTGAAAAGGGGAAATAATTCGCTCATCGCGATTGTCGATGACCAAGAGCGAATTTCTGGTCGGATCATTTTCCTGGACCACGACCTGCTGCACGAACTCAGATCGCTGAACAGCGAAAGGGTTGTGGGCCGCAGGAGCTCCTGGGTCACGACGTCCACTACGATCGTCGCGACCCCAGCTAGACCCCCAATCGCCGCCGCATGCGGTGGGAGGAGCCGCCGGATTCTCTGGAGCCTCGGCCTGACCCGGAGTGTAGAGTGTACCCTGCATCCTCGGCTTGCGGGATCCTTCTGGGCAAACCGAACTGGGGAACTCCTTGCTGTCGAGGGAACGACATGGCTGCACACGAGCGATCTATCCTGTTCCTTCCCTCGCCGATCTTCTCAGTATGGGCCGATCGGATTATTGCCAAAATGGCAACGGATAAGACAAGATCACGGCTGTTCTGACGATCGCGAAACTGATCTCCTTATTCCTATCCACCAGACCGATAATTAGGAGACGTATACATCAGTCGCTACCGATCGATACCGTTCGAACAGTCACTGAACAATCGAGAACTCGAGCTATTTTGATTGAGTGCAGGACCTGGCCGAACCGTCTTTAAGCCAGCGAACGGATCCACTCTGTGTTTTCTCTTTGCGTCCGATCGCTCGCATGCCGACCGAATCAGCTGCGAACAATAAAACGCGTGAGCACTCTTCGAACAACCCAACCATCAAATACACATGTTGGGTCCTACGACCAACATGTGTATTAACCCTAACCTTCCGCAAGAATTGTGGAATGGTTTTCTCGCTCGTACTCACCAAAACAGCACCACCGAATCATGACATAGGAGCCGCATGTCGGAACCAGAATGAGCCTGCAGCAACATCCACTCGAAATTTTGATGACCATCAACCAAAGCTGGAGCTGAAAAACCATAGGAATTCCATTCCTTGAAGATTCGCGCCCCGCGAGGCCCGGCTCATCACTGCCTCGACCTACCAGCAGCAAGCCGGTTCTCAGCACTTCCTTGTCTCTCAGCTTCTCATGGCGAAACCGTGCATGGCGCCGCCCATGTTCTTCTCTTCCCGATAACACACGGGTTGTGCTGGTTTGTTTCGATCCCCGCGCCACGACGGACATGGTGAGAACCGTCATCCCTGCCACCCGAGTCAGATATACATGTTCATAACTGGCGCAATCTGGTAGCATCCGGACTTGGGACCGGACCGAGCGAGCCTGACTGTCTTGAGGTTGCAAGCTCCTTCAGAAAACATGCCGCGTGTGATCCGGCAAGCGCGAAAGCTATGCTGACAGAAGCTAATCCATGTGGTTGAGGTATCAGTCCTATCTCCCCGTTGTGTGTGCATGTTAACGTCGCGTGAGGAAACCTCGTGACCTCGAGCATCGCGAAAGTTTAAGCGCTCAAAATACCAACGTCGTATAGCTGGTAAGCAAGGGGTGCCGAGCAATTTGGTATGGATGGCTTCTTGGCTGGCTGCATTTCCGATTAGAGCTCCGCTCCCGTCATCATGCAGCAACTGTTCGTCCACAGATCGGGTCGGCACTTCCCAAGAAAAAGTTTGGCAATGCCGGGCCCGTGGGCATATACCTTCCACGCCGCCACACAGTGTGTATGTGTAGGGTAACTATGCAGCGAGTATGTGTGGTTTGACCATGTTTGACCCACAAACTCGGGCATGCTGCAATGCTTCTCAACCTTGCATGACTGCCCAGCTTCCCGAATCCCTTTAGGTGTGTAGAAAACGACTGAGCTGCGGCACGCACGAGAAAAGCTAGCGTTTCGTCCTGCATGCGCCAATCATGGATTGCTTGCTGGGGTTGAGAAGGCCAGGACAGCCTCAGTGCAGGGCAGAAGAATGTTCATCCGTGATATGGTGTCGCACAGCCCCGCCTGTGATTGCCTTGCCTCCCATGCAAAATCTCCGCTGCATGGTGTTGTCGGGTGTTTACTCAATCCCCCGCCATATCAATCGCGAGGGAGAAGAATTGGTTGGATGTGGTTCAGACAGGCTTCCGGCCCCAGACCTTCGATGCGGCCCTAGCGCTGCAGCGCCTGGCAACAATTGCGCAGGTTATAAGCTTCTTCAAGTCCCTGCTGGGCGCTTCGTCTGGCGCGAAGTCCACGTGCCTGCAACAACGGCAGCGTTCCTCTCTGGAGCCAGCTCCCTCTATTGAACCCTGGCATGCCTCACTCACGGACGGTCCGGACTCGACCTGGAAGCCGAGCCGTCGGTGAACGGGCCCCGTTCGCGGGATCCGCCTCGGCAGCCCTTTGGAAACCAGGGCTTTCCACTTGCTTGTAACGAGCAAAGATCGGAAAGGACGCCAAGTCTCTTACAAAAGCATTGCCTTTCGGATAATATTTTCAAGTAAGCTCTTCTGATTCCCCCAGAGTTGAGAACGCTCCGAACACCAATTTGCGTCGCAACTTGTCCACCCGAGGTGATGATGGATTCAGGCAAGCCTTCTAGATTCTAGACTTTCCAGTTCCTGTGCCTCCAGACATCCGCATCGAGCCGACCGCCACACAGCGCCGAATTGAACGCCTTGGTAAAAGTTCGACATGATCCACGTCCCGGGCCCCAGCTGAAAAGCTCGAACAGGCAGCTTGTTGGGCGATACCTGGTCAGTGTTGTTTTATCGAACGAAGAGACCGATGCATAAGTTTCAGCCTACCTAGCCGCAATGTAGGAACATAAGTCCTTGTATATATGTATATATGTGTCTATGTGTGTATGTATGTATGTATGTATGTATGTATTCTGCGATAGTTTTGCAGATGCTTCAAACAGCATTCATGTACGTGTTTCGTGTGTTCTTTTGTTTGCACTTAATTGGCATGTATTGGCGTTTGGCAGCTCGGTCTCATAGCTCACGGCTCACATCAAGCAAAAGGAATGGTCTTAAAGCAATGTCTGAGGCGCATGATATCGGAAGAATCCTGCGGACCTTTGGATGACCTGCTCCAGCTCGCGGACTGTCAGCTCCGTCTCGACCTCAGGCGGACCGTCTTAGGCCTTCCAAACGGCTTGCGAAGCCCCCAAGTCTTCCTGCCTGCTCAGGCCTCGCTCTTCACGAAAAGACTTCCCCATGAGCTGAAACTGAAACCGATCCCTGCTGAAAACGGGCAGATGGAACGACATGTGAGCCCAGGCACTGCGAGGCTCCAAGACAACTCCTCCTCCGGACGGACATGCAAGCGAGTTGTGAGCATTGACAATGATTTTCGGGGTGTGAGTGACCATGGGAAGCTAGGGGCTGCGGGGACGAGTCGATGTTGTGTCGCTGCTCTATCGGACGATTTGAACCTGCCTGTCCTGTATGGGATGTTAGGTTCCAGATTAGTTCCAAAATATGAGCCAGCACGATAAAAAACTGCTTGAACCAGCTGGACCAGCGAAGGATATGCTCAGCGTCTACAAGTCAAGCTGTCCGGATCTGCAACTTCAAAAGCACTGCAACCCCCGAAATCAGAGTGCAGTGGAAATCGTGGCGAGGCTGCTCAAACCAGAAATCGTGAAGAAACAGAAAGATCAGGGACAGTGCTAGCCGAAGATGTTCCCAAGCCACACGGGGCGAGGGAAGATTGTGCGTAGCCTTGGGGATGTGATGCTGCACCACAAGTGCGACTGTCCAGCACAAGTCATTTTTCTCCACAATCCAAAAAGACAGGAGGTGCTGCACTGAAGGATTGGCACCGCGATAGACATAGCACATGTACTGCGAAGTTGTGGGGGGGCCCGGCTCGGGTAAGACAGCTCGTTTTGGAGCTTCTTGTGCTACGCTGGGTTTGTCAAAAGCTTCGGTCTATCCCAACTTGACGGTGTTCTCGTCCAGGAAGGAATGCCTCAGGATCAAGGCTTCTACGTTAGTTCTCAAAGATCATGACACTGATACCCGGCGAAGGCCCCCGCGGAGGCACCTCCAGGTTCTTCGGTGCAGGTCCCTTCAGGTCTTGTCATGCTCTTGAAAGGAGTATCGGTTTGGCCATTTCATGGGCAAGGCTTCGCATGCCAGGAGCACTCTCTCCAACAGAGCAGGCCTGACGAATGCGGCCAGCATAGTCGTAATGAGAACCGTGGCAAGGGCAGAAGTAGCCACCTCACAGGAGTTGCCTACATCCTCTGACTACCCGACACCGAACCTTTCGAACACCTCCCGAACAGGTGGCCCAAGTCTTCAACACAACATTAGCGAGCTGCCGTAGTTGCCAGCATCAGGCTGGGGGATGCAGCCCAGGTGAGTGCAGACCTTCGGGGTACAAGTTGCACTGATTCTCATGAAGCTCCACACTTGACGCGGTCGGCTGAGTTCTGGACACCGATGCAGATCAGCCACTCGGGCCTGTCCCATACCGGCTGCATTCTCTGTGATGGCACAAGCAAGCTCGAGGGTGCAATCACACAAACACACAAACACACACCGAGAATGAAGGTTTGCACTTAAGTCCTGTGATGTCCAAGCGTCAAGCCGGCTGCAAAACAGCAAAGCATTTAGTTGACGTGCCAAACCCGTCAACTAAGTCACTAAGGCTTTGTTCGGATCGCGACCCACTCAAGGGACCCTGTCTCGAAAGGCTGTGCTTGGCCTCTTGCAACGCTCGGCATCAGTGGCTGGCTCCCGCATGGAGGGCGCCACGATATCATCCTCGCAAAGTTCAGGCCACTCCGTCTGGGTCACCGTCTTGCTGATGGAAATACCGGCTGCTGTTCACGCGGGTTGATACTCGCATGAGTGCATTTGAGAAGGATGCGCCCTTGGGCAACTCAAACGAATCAGTTCAGTCTCCCGCACCTTCTTGGCGGAGGTAATTTGATCTGGGGTGCGCTTGCGGATGAAGACCGGCTTTTCGCGCCACTTGACCTTCAGAATTTCGAGAAATGCTTACCGATCTTACCGAGCCCCGCGCAATCCATTCAGACTACTGGGGCTGAGCAAGCCGCTGTGAAGTTCTGGCCCACTCGAATGGGCCTGAGATCCACCTCACCCGCAATCAAATGCATGGCTTGTTGAATTGCAGAGGGCAAAGCCTTATCTTTCTAGGAGGTGGCTGGATACACCGAGTACAGCGAGCCGCCATCTTTCATGGCTGGCTGGGTTCTGCTTCGATGCGGCACATAACCCCGTCCGTCCTCAACAATGCCAGCAGCAAACACATCCTGCAGGAGGCCGACTGGGCAAGCCTATGTCTGTGCGGTGCAAAACGACGGCAGGTTGCTGGCATGTTGCCACTGACTTGTGAGCACCATAGGCCCAAAGAAGGAGCGTCGAATGCGAAACCGACCATGAGATGGTAAGGGCATTAGTTCTGCATGATCTGGACCATGAACATTTCAAGCAAAGATTTCTTGCGATGTCCTTGGCGGGCCAGAGCGTCAAGATCAGCTTCCCAGCCATGGCGCGGATCATGGAGGCGGCAATCACGGCACCACCCCTGAAGCAAGGCAGCCAATAGTGTCTTTCTGTCCCGAGAACCATGCCTTCTCTCCTCTCCCAATCTCTTCAATTCTCCCATGACGCGACATGACGCGACAAACGGTGTCTGCGCCGTTGAACTCTGCACCTGCTGCGGACTGGTGCATCTCAGACCCCGGCGCCGTCATGAAGTAGATGAAGGGTCGGCGATCGGCATGCCCGATCGGGAGACGGTTGGCCTTGTACGACAGGCAAGAAATGGGGCAGTGCCGCATGTGAGACCTGTCCTTCCACAACCGACAAATTGATGGTCTCGGCCCGTCTGTTGACTTGTTACAGCCCCCACCGGGCAAAATGGAATTCCAGAGGCTTCGACACTCGCTGTTCCGCTGTTCAAGAACCCGCCACCTCTGCCTGACGAGTAGCACTCCCTGTAGCAACATTCGCGTCTGCGACGCAACTGCATGTCGACGTAGTAACCGGACTGCTGGACCGCTGAGCAGGGTGACACGCGTAACAGATCGTAACAGAAACCTCTGAGTCTGAATGAAACAGAAACTGTGTAGTAACAGGGAAGGATGCGGAGCGCTACCGGAAAACAGAAAACTTGCATAACAGGTGAGGGCCTCACCCTGTAAAATCACCTGCCTGAATGTGCTGAAAGCACCTAAAACCTAAATGACGACCTCATACTGCCACGAAATGGGAAAATATGAGTATCCAGAGACCTCACGCGCTGGAGAGCCCAGGTGTGCCACTGTGCAACGCACGCAGTCTGCGGAGTTCGGTCCACAGGCTTCACAGGATTTCGCAAGTTGTGAAGATCAGGCTTCTTGGGCTTATGTTGCGCAGCTTGGCGAGCGTTGCTGAGGCAGCACCCAATCGTCAAGGTATACAAGAGCCGGACTTTGTCGTACCCTGCACACTGACATGCCAAGCTCTGAGGCCCCTGCCCGGAAGTCCAGGGCCCCCTCTGGGACAGTGCTGGTGGGCATAGGCGCGTTCTCTGCAAAGCCCACCTCACAAATCGCTGTCGGATGCGATGCTTCAGTCAATCGGCAAGCAAATTCAGCCACATGGCGACGACTGCGGAATGCTTATGCTGTCGAGGCAGCCTCGTACTGGCTACGTCGCCCACCCTTCCACGGGAGCTCAGCGCCCTGTGTCTGCGTGACAAATCTTAAGTCCCCGACAGGCCGATAATTCTCAGGTGAGAACTTGGCAACAGAGATGATGGCAGGCTCCTGCCAACACATCAACACACCGCGATCATGACCCTGATGCCTTGAAGCTTCGAGGTCCGGAGCAGCTTAAACATGGCTTTGGCACCTTCGGATCGTGCCAGACGTCTGTGCGAGTGACCTGGCTGCACATGCAGCAGACTGACAATTGCTATCCGCTCCCCAAACAACCACCATCTACTAAGCGAAGCAGACGGACTTTTCAACAGTTGGTCGTAAAGGTCGCTCCGCTTGCTATGTCCAAAAGGAGCCGATAGGGCCCTTGGACAAACTCAAGTGGGCAGAAGATACCCAGGAGTGGGTGGGTGGGCAAAAGATGGGTATCGTCCTTGAGACCAAAATGGCCACGAACGATACCTTCAGTTAAAATAACCCACCATCCACGCTCGCAATTGTCACTACAACAAGACGCAGGCTGTGTTTATCTCGACAATTGCTATCCGCTCCCCAAACAACCACCATCTACTAAGCGAAGCAGACGGACTTTTCAACAGTTGGTCGTAAAGGTCGCTCCGCTTGCTATGTCCAAAAGGAGCCGATAGGGCCCTTGGACAAACTCAAGTGGGCAGAAGATACCCGCATGACCTGACCAACAACTGCCAAATAAATGTCCGTCCCGCCTGCTTAGCGCGGTTGTTTTCGGTATCAAGAGTCACTCGAGCTTGTGCTCGAGTTGGAGGAGGAAGAGGAGCTTGACTCCGATTCCGACGGAGCCCGCCTCTGGCTGGGGAAGCAATGTTTGCATCTCCGGCCTTTATGGCGGAGGGGCACCCATTGAAAGGATTTGTCGCCTGACGCGAAGGGCCAAAGACAACAGGTACGCCACGAGCTCGGGTTCAGCGCCACCTGGGGTGAGCTGAAATCGCTAAGGCATTTGTGAAGCTTGCCACCTCGAGCCGTATTGAGGACGAGGGCCTTGGCCGTGCTAGTGTGGATGGCCGCCGGGCCTGACGACGGCGCGCCCCTAACCTGGCACTCAACGTGCCAACTGGAGTCGGGGATTGCCAGTGACGGTCTGACCTCCCGCATAAGCCTGTCCAGATCGCTGCGAATCTTGGCTAAGGTTTCCCTGTCGCCAGCCTCGATGGCCAACTCGTTCAGTTGTGCTAGAGGGGCATCGCGGACGTATCGGAGAATCACTTCGCTTCCCCACCTCCCGAAAATTTGGATGCGCCAAATTTCGATTCCTTTAAAGGCTAGGAACTGCGCTCCTGTAGCGCGTGCCGTATGGCCAGTGAAAGCCCGAGCTCCGTTGTGATGGTACAACGGGAGCCCCAGCAAAGCTGCGATTCGTTGGAATGTGTCGGCCCACCCATGCTTTGATGGTGGGCATCCATCCAGGTCCACAAAAACGGGATCTTCCGGTTGCTTTCCCTGCACCAGAGACGCTATGGTGTGAAAAGGGCAAAGGTCTGGATGTAAAACGGCGCAGGAACAAGAGTGCTTGCGGGTGGCCCCAAGCGCTGCAACATCCGTCTTGGACGACGGTAGCAACCATGCGGCTACTTTCGCCCCGAAGTCCAGGGTAATGTGCCGAACCTTGGCGCGGGACGCTTCCAGCTCGCGTAAGAGCCACCAGGACGCCACTATAGTGGAGGTGACTGGCCTCGCCGGTCCCGAGGGGACTTGACAGCGTGACTGGTCTAACCCGGCCAGCTTGTCGAGCGGGAGGGCCGCCGCCTGTTTGGCTGGACCAAGCCCTCGCTTGCAGGAGCGCGAGCAAACCCGATACGCTAAGGCCAACTGGTCCGTCCACGGGTGTCCTTTCTGGACGTGTTCTTGCTTGGCAAGGTCCAGGTATTGCATCGCTGAACGGTAGCCTGCCTCTTTGAGACCACCCATGACGACGTACATTCCGTCGGGTGTTAGGGGGTAAGGCTCGAGCCCTGCCCACACTGACCAAGCCACCCATTGCCTGAGTCTAGACTCAACGGGTCCAATGGAGGTGGTCGCTCTGGAGTCGGCCAGCAAAACCGAACGGCAATGAACGGGGTCAGTTAAAGCTTCCATGGCCAGGGCCGCCGACCCCCGACGATATGCACTTGGCTCCCCATTGTTTCTAGCTACCGCCTCTGGCCCTGCACCCGCCAAGCCCCCCGGTTGGGTTCCCGCACCCACGTCGGGCCGCCCTAGAGCAGGACCCTCGTGGAGAATGCCAGGTGCCCTCGGTGGGTCTCGAAGCGTGGTGGGGTTACTTAAGGGCCTGAAGGCTACAGCGTACGATCTCTTGGGCCGCGGCATCTGCGGAAACGCGTGACCCAAACGGCACAGCCTAACCCCGGAGAAGAGAGCAAACGAGCGGGGGGAGAGCGAGAGGGAGACACGAACCCGCAAAGCAACGAACCTTTTACTCACACTTTCCAGAAGTGATCGTTGATGAGGACCTCGTCACGAGGAACCTCCAGAAGCTCCTTTGGGAAGCGTTTTGCCTCAGGAGCGAACTGGCGAGAAAGGGCGTCCGCCTGCACATTCGTGACGCCGGGGATGTGGACCAAACCGTTCACGTGGTAGGCCCGCGTCGCCTGGTCGAAGGCAAACTCCCGAGCAAGCACATTGAGGTCCGCAGACCTTGCGCTTCCCTTGGCAAGTGCCATGAGGAACCCGAGGTTGTCCGACTTGGCCCGAAACGTGGCGCCGTGAACGAGGGAGGGCAGCCACAAGCGGAAGGCGACCAGAAGGGCCAGTCCTTCCCACAGCGTGTTGTATTTCGGCAGGCCCCGCTCCGCCCCGAATTTCCGGAGGACGACGTCTGGGATGTGGAGGTAGAAGTAGGCCGTGGGACGCCCCCCTTCTCTCCTTATTCCTCCCATCCCCCATGGGCAAGCGTCGGTGACGATCTCCAGGTCGACCTTGGGCGGGTTGGCGTAGAAGATCTTCTCGATGGTGGGGCCTCCGGCTAGTAGCGCCCGAACCCAGCAGAGTGCCGGGCGGATCCGCCTGACATGTATGAGCCTTCGGGTCGACAAAGTATGCCGACCTTCACCCGTCACATCATGCCTGGTCAAAACCGCCCAGAAGGTAGCCAGGAACGGCCGCAAGTGCGGCACCAGGCCCGCAACGAAGGAGAGAGCCCCCGTGAAGGAGCGTAGCTCCCTTGATCCCACCACTGATCGGCCCAGGAACTTGTCGGTGTCTTGCAGGAGGGCCTGAATTTTGGAGGCCGGCAGGGTCACGATCACTGCCTCCTCCGCGTCGACGCACCGGATCCTCGCGCCCACCCATTCCAAGTCTTTGCCACCACAGGCTTTCGAAAGCTTGACGGGGTAGCCTGAAACGGCGGCCCAAAGCAGGGCTACCGTCAGGTCTGAGGCGGCGACCTTCAAGTGCGGCCCGTCCAGCACGAAGACCGGATCATCGACGTACACCTGGGTGTCGGCTGGCCCCGTGGCTGCCGTCGTTCTTCCAAGCCACGCTGCGGCGCGTCCCCACACGGTTGGTGAGGACGCCGATCCAAACACCAACGTGTTAAAGAGCACCAGCTTGTGCATCTTGCCTCGGTTCCGCTTCCGAGGGACGGCCGCCACCGTAAAGCGCCGGTCCTTCCCGGCTGGTATATTCATGAAGGCGTCCCGGATGTCGATGCACGCCAGGAAGGGTGGCCGGCCCCTCCGATAGGCAGCCAAGAGGGAGGCCACCACGTCCAGAAGCCTAGGGAGGATAATCCTTTCCCCCTGGTTGCACGCCTTGTTCACCTGTGACTCTTTCAGGTCCCAAATGACCCGGGCCTTTCGCACCAGGTTGCCCTGTGCGTCCTTCTTTTCTTTCACCAAGACGCCGAGTCGGTTGAGGACAGGCGGGCCGCCCAGGATCTCGATGGCTTCCTCCAGGGTGGAAACCACCGTGCAGAACCCTCTTCTCTCGTAGTCGGTGATGAGCTCGTCCAGCACGTGTGCCTCCTCCTCGGCCGACTTGTAGTTGGACCAGCCCTCGAGAGCCCTGCGGTCGAGCTTCTCGTGGGGCTTTAGGTCCCGAGGCACCACCGGTGGGAAGACCCCGGTGGAAGGGATATCCTCCGTCAAGCCAAGGGGCGCCCCGTGGTCGAGCCAGCCGGCAAGTGTTGCCGAGTCCGGGTCGTCTGTGGCTTTGCCCCAGGCCTCAAAGATCTCGGCCCGAAGTGGCGTGCTCGCTGGGGCCGTGCGTTCGCGTGTCGTGGCCCGCGCGTCGGCCCCCAATGTTGTGAGCACTGCTGCCCGGATCTTGCCGATCACATCCATGTCGAACTCCTCCGGCTTCCTCCCCTCCAGGATGGCGAGCGCAGGTTCGACCAGCTCGGGCCACTGCTGCATGGAGCTTCGGAGCAGCTTGTGGATGGCCCGACCCACCCTTCTCGACTTGGGCAGCCTGCGGAGTGAACGGCGGGGGTTTCGCATGCCGCCCAAGGCCTGGCTGTTCTCCCTGTCCCTCTCCGTCCTCGGGCCCTTCGCCGCCAGGGCCTGGAACTCCGAGGTGGGGTCAGCCGCTCATAGGGACTCCGTTTCCAGGGCCCTGACGCGGAAGCCCTGGTACAGAGAATGAGCGATGATCTGGGAGAGGTGGGGCGTGTATTCGCCTTGGCGCTTGGAGGCCCACTGCTTGGAGCCGGCCGGGCCCCTCTCCTTCTTCCCGGCGGTGCTGCCATGGGACCCTGGAGGGTGATCACACCGAAGCCCGTCCAGAACTTCAAAGCCACTGGCGTTGCTGCTGTAGAGGATCTTGGTGGGCTTCACCGTGTCCAGGCCGAGCTTGCACTGGTCAAACGCTGCGATGGCGACCCGATCGAGGCCCGCGAGTTGGCGGATAAGCGGCATCTGCCACAGTTCCGGTTTGTCCTCGCCGTGGGCCGGGTTCTCCAAGCCCCAGGTGAGCTTTTGGTCCCAGGCCGCCACCAGTGCATCATGCGTGCGTTCCACCAGCACGTTGGCCTCTTTGACCTGTGTCTTCTCCGACGGGCTGAGGTCCGGCTTGCCCTCTATGTGCTCAACCGTGCGGAGCGGGCGGGGTCCAGGGCGGACCTCCCTCAGAGGGCTGAAGGTGCCGCAAGGTGTGCCAGCCCACACCACCGAGAAGTGCCCGTCAATGATGTCTCGTTCGACTAAGTTCCACTGACTTTCGTCGAGGACGTCGCATGACGGCGAGGAGTCCCTGTCGACACAGCACACCATGAAGCCATAGTGCACCAGCCAGTTGGGGAGGTCTCCTTTGCGGCGCCGGCCACTGAAAAGGACGAGTGCCCAAGGCCTCTCCACAAAGGTGTCGGCGGGCTGCTCCATCCACATCCCATACGGCCGTGGGCCCCGGACAAGTGGCTGGTAGTCGGGCCACGCCGTCTCCAGCGGGGGAACCAGCAGGAGGCTTTGGGTGCTGGCCAGCTTGCCGCTCGCACCCTTCGTTCTGTTGCCCGTGGCTGCCGCCGCTGCGTGCCTCTTCACCTTGGCCTTCGGGCTTCCGTCGGCTGTGGAGGAAGTGGCCGGCTGGGTGGCATCGGGCCTCTTGCGCTTGATCGCCGGCCTGGCCCGTGGCGGCGTCGGTGGCTTCTGCGCTGGAGGCTGACGCGGCTCGGAGGGTCGGGTGCCCGATGCCTTGGACTGCGCCGTCTTGTCCACAAGCTGCTGGTTCGCGTCGTCTGCCGGCCCTGCTTTCCGCTTCGGCGTCGGCTTGACGTACCGACCCCCATGAGAAGTGCCAGGCGGAGCCGCCGCTGTCTCACCCCCGGCTGCCGCCGAAGAGGGCGTTGAATCAGCGAGGTCGGCGGGGAGTCAGGAGCGGTTGCAGTCCGTAGCGGGGTGGGGGCCGAGGCACATGTTGCATTGATGGCTGCAGCCATCTCGGCATTTGCCGTGTGGCTTCTTGCTGCCACACTTCCCCTTATTATATCCACCACATATTTTGGCGCCACGCCTGTTGAGGACATACACCCCGTCCTTCTTCTCACTCTTGTCCTCCCCGTCATAGCGCCCCTTCTTTTGCTTCTTCTTAGGGGAGCCATCATCGGCCCCACTTCCTTGCCCGGCTCGACCTTTGAGCTGCCCCGTGCCCGCGCCGCCGCCGCCGCTGCCGTCGCTCCCGCTACCTGGCTGCCTCTGAGACAACCAAAGGGTCGCGGGCGTGATCAGCTCTCTCGTCCAGAAGTCGCTGTCACGGACGGCCGCAGCAAAGCACGCGTTCCAGGGCCGTGCGCTAGTGAACCCGAACTCCGGGCGGTCCGTCAAGGTCCGCCGGATGCGTTCGAGGTGTTCACAGCGAAGGCGGTTCTCCGCCCTGTAGATCAGCCACCAGCAGTTATCGGAGAACTGGGTGACATATGACCTGACGTGCTCCGCGTAGGCGTCCAGCCGCTCCGCGTCGGCGATCTCCAGCAAGAGGAGCGTGGTGCGGAACACCTTCCAAGCTTCCATCCACGTGTGGTAGCTCGAGGGGCCCGGCTGCTCCTTCTTGGACCACTCGCCCGTGGCCACGTTCAGAGTGTAGCTCGTGAACGTCTGCTTGCGAAGGAGGCGCAGGCCGTGAGGCCCGAACAGCGAGAAATCTGCGTAAGGTGCAGCTCCCGCGGCCACCACCTGGCGCAGCGACGCCACTTGATCCGAGGAGGGATCGGCATCCGGGCTGGGGTAGTCGCCGAACTTGGCCTTGTAGTCCTTGTAGAGCTGTTGCAGCTCGGCTGCGCCCAGTGGCGAGACCTCGGCGTCCAAGGTGGGGTCGAGGATGGACGACAACTTCAGCCTCCTCGCTCCTGTCGCCGGTGTGCTCCCCGTGGGTGCCGGCCCTGTTGTCGGAGCTGGTGCTGGCGGGCTTGTTCCCCCTGGGACGTCTGGGGGGATGCCCATGCGCAGCAAAGCCACTCGGCGGCTCGACTCGACCAGGGCTCTTTCTACCAAGGTCAAGTCCCGGGGCGGGCCTGGATTGCCGTCGGCGTCGGCTGGTCCCGCCACTCGCAAGGTGCTCACCATGGTGTCCCAGGCAGCTCTAGGGACGAGGGCTAGCTCTCGCACGCGAGCTGGGTCGCCCAAGGCCGCCCGCAGTGCTCGCTCCAGGGCCCCTGTCACTCCTGCCCAAGTGAACACTCCCGGTAGGTCTGCTATCGCCGCCAGCTCCGCGTCGGTCGGGTCCATTTTGTAGAGCGGGACCTTCGTGAAGTATGGGCCCAGGCGTCGAGGCCCTCCGTGCAGCCCTCCTCCGGAGATTCGGGCGGGACTCGGTGGTGTTGCGGAGGCTGTAGTTCCCGAGGTTGGCAAAGGCCAAAGAGAGCCGCCTCCGGCTCCGAACGAAGTTCACAGCCCTCTGGGAAATCCGTGCCCACCGGTCCAAAGGAGTATGCGCAGGCGTCGGCGGGGCCCGGCCTACCACGGGTGCTGAGCTCGGCCGTGCCCAGCAGCTACCGCAGCAGAATCCGAAAACCCAGACGCAAAAGCACAGGCTAAGGAGTAGTCCAGGTACCCCTTGGGTGTCCTCCCAGCCCACCAGTGACCCGCCAGAGGCGAAGATCAAAGGCGAACTATAAGGAACGACCGCAAGGTCCATAGACAAACTCCACCCTGTTCCTTGGACTTGCCCAAAAGATGGGTATCGTCCTTGAGACCAAAATGGCCACGAACGATACCTTCAGTTAAAATAACCCACCATCCACGCTCGCAATTGTCACTACAACAAGACGCAGGCTGTGTTTATCTCTACACCACCGAACCGATTCATTTTAGCAAGGAAGGGGCTGTCATGATCGGTAGAATCTCATTGCTGACTGGGTCGGCCCTAGGAGCGTGCGGCAGAAAAAACGTGCAGCGGTGCTCGCTATGACCAACCGCAGACTTGCAAACTACGGGTACGTTGCAGATTGTTACTGAGCCTGCTGCCGGCAATTTAACAAAGTTGAAGTAGGTCATGATTACGACTCCATAAGCATTCGGGCCGTTGGATGGGCCGGGGTTGGCAGACAATCGCAGCTGGGTGTGCAGTGGCACCGGCTGCAAGCTCTCCCTTGGCGATGTCAGGCCTCAGATTGCACTCGGCATGGCGCGACCCGGGGCACGGTGGGAAGTGAGAAGCAGAATATGGGGAAGTCTCCAGAGCCCCGCATGGACAAAGACGGCCGGGGGCCCGTCTTCCGAGGGAACGTTGGCTCGCGGACAGTGTCGTAGTGCCAGTAAGTGTACTCGCCCTGGCCATAAAACTGATGAGGATCACCTCCAGCAAACGTTCAGGGGCCGAGTGACATCATGCACAGTCTACTGCACCAACTACCAAATGCATCATCCTACTCGAATCTGGATTCGGAGTTCATCGCGGCAGCCTGATGTGGGAACCAGATCTGCCGTGTCGTGGACAACCGGCGGCTTCACAGCCTTTGCCATGTCCTGAAGGTCATAGAGAAGTGTTTTTGATACTCCAAGGCAAGCACTTCGGCCTTGATTTTGTGATGAGGCGTTGCCAGATTCGCTCGTGCCCCTCTCGGCCCTTTGAAAAGCGAGGGTGGCAAAAGTTGGTCCAGAAAAGGGCTGCCTCTGCGTGTCTGTAATGGTCACAGGGAGGACTTGTCGGGACCGTCTGGGCAGGGGATGTGGCCAGAGCCTGAAAACCTCCAAATCTTGAGATCACCAAATCTTGAGATCACCAATGTGAGGGCTCCGAAACGTCAAACTGGCAGAGTGAGCAGGAACACAGGTGTGCTCAGAGGAGTCGGAGGGGGGGGAGTAACGACACCAAGGGTGCAAAGAGTACCCCTAGACGCCTACAAGAAACACAGCATTTCAGAAAGATATCTTCCGCGTCCACGCCTGCACTACACAGGGGTCGCAGGACCTTCACTTTAGCATTGGTTCCACTGGTTCCTGGTGCCAGTGATGCTCGACCTCGCGTACGGTGCTGTGGAGTGGCAGGTTGCGCACGCCTCTCCAAGGAAGCAGGGACACTCCACATGCTGCAGTCGTTGCGCGCCTTCGCTGGGTACTCGACACCCCACGTGCATTCTACAACAAGTGCAACTGTCTCTCCACTGTTCCAACATGTTCCAATGGGCTCGCAACAAGTGCATTGTCTGCAGGAGCTGCAAGAGGGGGCTTTCACCGCGACCCGGGCTACGACTGGGAATGGCAGGCGACGGCATCATTACCATCAGCGATAACGACGGTGATGACGGCGATGCTGAGTGCACAGGAGGCCACTGCGACAACCAGTGCAATTCGGCCATCAACCGTGGCAACCAGTGCCACGTTCGAGGGAGCTCGCCAATACGATCTTGATCAGATGGGTCAGCATCAGCGACGAAAGTAGCCTTCCTTTGTCCGAACCGCCGGGTGCTGATCACCTCCTCAAGTCGCGTCGAATCATGTCGAATCCAATGCAGCAAGCATGATGATGATGATGCTGATCAAGATCATGATACCACCACCACCACCACCACCACCACCACCACCACCACCGCCCCCACCGCCACCACCGCCACCACCACCACCACCACCAGCACCACTTCCACCCCTCCGCCTCCTGCTGCCGCTGCTCCTCCTCCTCCTCCTCCTCCTCCTCCTCCTCCTGCTGCTTGCTACTGCTGCTACTGCTGCTACTGCTGCTACTCGTGCTACTCGTGCTACTCGTGCTGCTCCTGCTCCTCCCCTCCTGCTCCTGCTCCTCCGACTCCTGCTCCTCCTGCTCCTGCTCCTCCTCCTCCTCCTCCTCCTCCTCCTCCTCCTCCTCCTCCGCCTCTTCCTCCTGCGCCTGCGCCTACGTCTGCTCCTGCTCGTGCTGCTGCTACTGCTACTGCTACTGCTACTGCTACTGCTACTGCCACTGCCACTGCCACTGCCACTGCCACTGCCACTGCCACTGCCACTGCCACTGCCACTGCCACTGCCACTGCTACTGCTTCTGCTTCTGCTTCTGCTTCTGCTACTGCTGCTGCTTCTGCTTCTGCTACTGCTGCTGCTGCTACTACTACTCCTCCTGCTGCTGCTACTTTTAGTTTCTTGTGGTAGACAGTGGTGCAGCAAAGGGGCAGCTGCTTTTGATGCTGTTGTTGTTGATGTTGCACAGCCTCAGCAGTCGCAGGCTTACCTGGCAATCTTCTGCCGACCCAACCGCACCAATGTGTAACGCCAACACATCACTCTGATGTTCTCGTGACGGGATGGGCCGCCTCGACCCCAGGGCAGGACCAAGAACACAGATGACTGCAAACCTGTTGGCTCCACTCACCACTTGCTCGGGAGAGCAGGATCTCGACTCATTTCATCAAGTCGCCTTGCTGAGTTTCTTCATGCCTCCATGAACTGAGACATGGCACTTCACCGTGTCTCAAGCGAGCTCTGCGATGTCTCCAGATTTGATCGTGACGGGGACTTGGCACCACACTGGTGAAACGATTCGGAAAAGCTCAAAACATGGTAGGTGGGTACTGTGTGCTTGCGAGACGATCCGTGATGCTCATGACGCTCGCAACATGGTGCTTCGCCTCAAGAAGTAGAGCGGCATTGGAGGAATTAAAGAACATCTTTGAACATCTTGGACACATGAAGTCCACCGCCAAGCACAATGCATCGATTTGTCCTCTGCATGCTCTTTGGGAGTCTTGAGGATGAACTCATTCTTGTACCTCTCGTAAGCAGTTGACAATGCTTGATCCTTGTGACCTTCAGCGTACACTGGACGGCACAAGCGCACATGGGCATCTCGGATGCAGGAGCCATATCATCGCTGTCTCGCATCAGGTGGTAGTTGACAGGATGGGCAAAGCCTTGGGACACTTGGAATACTCATGAAGATCGACTCCTCTCCGCGTGCTACGACGGCTACCAGTAGCTTCTCCCCTCCTGAGACGGCAGCATCGCGCCTGCAACCGACTGACCATTGCCTCGAACAGCTGAACAAAGCATCGCAACTTCATTACGGATGGGAAAGCTCTGAAGATCTCTTAAGTGAGATCCAAATCACATCAAACTGTCGCCCCGTGAGCTGAAGCGGGCGTGCCATTGGTCGGGTCACAGGCACGGCGCGCGACAGCACGCGCGCCATCCTCGGCCGAGAAGAAGGCAGAGCGAGCAAGCCAACCGCCAACCAACTGCCACCCCCTGTTCACAGAACCAAGGACGACAGTCTCTGCGAGATTTTGTGGGTCAATACACGTCAGTACAGGATGCCTGCATGATCCGTTGCATGAGCGTGCCAGGTTCCTTGCCTGCCGAGAGGATGATTATGATATCATATCATGGGACACGGGGTATGCTATGACGGTTCCTTGTCTGAAATTCTTCTGAAGCACAGCACCATCGTCCAATCGCTACGACGATAGCCTGCAAGCTACTTCTTGCTGTCGCTGTTTCGAAACCTCAACAACAACCGACATCCCAATAGCACGCCCAAAAACTCAAGAAACGGTGTGTGCAGCACCAAGAGTCTATGGCATATGGATGAAGCATTGTAGAATGACCTTACCTCTTGACCCTTTGCTCAGCCAGATACATCTTCGCAACGCTCGCCACAGAGACCTGAAACTCAGCGCGACTGCCGTCGCGAAAACGACAGCACATGCCACTTGAAACCACAACCAGGAAGCCCTGTCATCAACGTATTTCCGTTGGCCTGTGGGGGAAGTCATACGAGTGCTCATGACTGCTGTAGACAAAGCCCGAGCATCTGGCCAAGATCTCCAAAGCAAAGCGACTGCAGACGACGGGCACAGCCCTTACGAGCCAAATGGCCACGGCTCCCGGGCCCTTGTCGCAATGCCGGAACCTCTGATGTCTCTTTGGGCTTGCCATGGCCCCTCTCAGCCCGGCTGCTCTGGCAGCTCCTCTCACCCTGACGCTCTCCCCCGGCTTCTCGACGCTTCGCCCAAGAGCTCTTGCTCGATACATGTGCTTATGATTATACTTTAAGAGATGCATGTGCATCATTGCACATCGACATTCCTGGAAGGCACGCACGGTTTTGATCAGGCATCTTCAAGCACTACTCGTGCACTCAGAATACCAAAAAAGCGAGAGGCTGCAGAGGAATCGTCTCTCAGAGCTTCTTTCACATCCGCCTGCTATGACTGTTGACTCGATGTGCCAGTTTCTACAAATTGATAAAGCTCAAGTTTCTATCATCGCACGTACCAGATGCCTAAGGTCCAATCTGTGGCTCTGTCGAAACGACCTTGCTTTCACGAGCACACCTCATTCAGAGATGCACATCCGGCAGTGTTGCATTGCAGTGCTGGCAGGAAGCCACATCAAATGCCTCGGATAACAGGTCAAGTAAGCCACGCAATGAAGGGAAGGCTCCGGTGCGTCATCAGAGCATTCCAGCAACGAGAAAGGGCAGTTTCTCGGAGCATCCTGACAACCCTACGCCCTGTCAGCACACACACAACAATTGAAAGAGCCTTGAAACGCAACATGAATGGGCGGCCTGCCTTGCTAAGTCGCATCTACTCCCAAACTATCCCCATTTGATGCGATCATGCTCTGATATGCAAGTGCTGATGTCTGGCTGTCCATTGATAGAGGGTTTGTTTGGCCAGCGACACGAGTTACAAAGCGCCAGTACTGCTTTCCCACGGTTTTCAACTGTAATAGTTCTGGCCTCGGTACTACGCGGTAAGAGTTCTCTCAAGAGACTGAGCCACCTGCCCGAAGTCACGATTCGCTGCTTCAACCCAGCTTGACAGTGTTCTCATCCAAAAACGAATGCCTCGGGAACGGACAACGACCAGCAGAAATCTGAGAACAAACAAGGATCCAACAACGCACTCTCGTTAATGTCCTCTGTAAGATCTCTCAACCGCTGAGCCGCTGGACACTACGAAACGCCTGCATTAAAACTTTTCTCCAAGCTGCTTCAGTCCGGCGCATGAGGAATATTGATGGGAGTCATGAGGACTACATTGGTCTGTTCTCTTGGCGTCATGTGTTCCCAAAAAAGGTTCGGTGCTGCAGACAAAGCGTGTGGCTCCCGATGCCGTGCGCTGCACTCTTCGAAAGCGACATTGCCATGTGCCTTACGTGTGTGCACATACACATGTATGCAGATACTCTGTGTATACAGATATACAGAAATGCAACATATATACATATATACACCAGTTACTACGATCGCAGACGCTCGGTACCCTCACTGAACAGACGAGAGGCGATCGCACCTTTTTCATGCGACCGCAACGTGGGAGTCGGCCACAAGTCCGATCATCCAAACTTCACTTGATCTTCACAAGTCCGATCGGACCCCGATCGCCGGGGGGTGCGCCATGGCATTCACCACGGGCCGCAACATCATCCGATCGGACACATCAGACAAGCGATATTCCCCGCGAACAAAATTAAAAGTCTTCGATGGGATCATCTGGCTCGGGCGAAGGCTCCTCGATCGGGTCCTCATCGAGAGGAGCCGCGCCCAGCAAGTCGATCAGCTGCCGCTCGGCCGCCCGAACGGCCTCAGAGGGAGTAGCCTTGGCTTTAGCCCGAGCAGGAGCCGCCCGACCAGCTTGGTACGCCGCGATCTGGGCGGGACTGGGCGGCGCCTTAGAAGGCGGAGCAGAACCTCTCGTAGGCACCAGGATCTCGGTACCGGGAGGTGGCTCCGCATGGGGCGGCAATAGATCCAGCCGTCGCGGTGACTGCCCCGGGACCACGTAGTGAGCAGGACCAGCGACCCGCACATCCGGCGGTATCTCGTCGAGCGGCCTAGGAGGCTGTCCAGGAACAAGGTACTGAGCAGGCTCGGCGAACATAGCTGTTCGGCCGGCCGGAGCCGCTCGGCCCTGACGAGGCTGGCCACCTTCGGGATCCACATAAAAGATCGGCTGATCAAAGCCCCTATTGGGAGCAGCCTTGGCCGGCGGAGCTTTGGGCACCGGCCGCCGAACATAGGGCAGACCGGCTATCTGATCCCAGTTGAGGGGAGGATCCGCCCCGTGATCGTAGCCGGCCGGCTGGTGACGATCGCGATCACGATGAGCCGGCGGCGTCACCCAGGGGATCCCTCTGCAGAAATGACACATATCAAAGCGGCGATCGCAAGCCGTGCACAGAGGAGTGAGTTGATTGGGAGCCCACTCTTCGCGGGGGACCCGAACGGCTGCGTAACATTCTTCGCCATCCCCGTCGCAGAAGCAGCCGGTGAACAGACCGCAATCCACGCAGGGACGGCAGAGCTGCTCGTGCGTGCCAAAAGCGAGCGCTTGAAGGCCGACGTCACTGCGAGGATCCCGCATACCGAAAAGAAAATAGGGTGGAGGGGGTGGGATTTTTCGGTATGGCCCGATCGGCTATCGCCAAAATGGCCACGGGAAAGCATGATCACGTCTGTTCCAACGATCGCGAAACTGATCTCCTAATTCCTACCCACCAGACCGATAATTAGGAGACCAGTTACTGCGATCGCAGACGCTCGGTACCCTCACTGAACAGACGAGAGGTGATCGCACGTTTTTCATGCGACCGCAACGTGGGAGTCGGCCACAAGTCCGATCATCCAAACTTCACTTGATCTTCACAAGTCCGATCGGACCCCCGATCGCCGGGGGGTGCGCCATGGCATTCACCACGGGCCGCAACATCATCCGATCGGACACATCAGACAAGCGATATTCCCAGGCCCTCAAACTCCTTTCGGAAAGTCCGAGGGGACGGTGATCCAACCGCAAAGCAAACCTGTAGCGACATCACCACGAGAGGGATTATCCTTTTCATTCATTCACACGCTTTAGTCGAGTCGACTATTCAGCGGGCGCTACGTACCCGTATCAGCGATTGGATACAGGAACGGCCTTGTCTGGCACGCCGGACTACTACGATGCCGCTTCCCAGGGCGGCAGGCCGACTATTGCGGCCATGAAAAGAGAGCTAAGTACCACGTCCTACTGATCTCGTTAAGGTCAGTAGAGTTAGCTACGACAGTCGGAGTGTCATCATTCTGTACATGGAGGGCCGGATGGGCGGCATCCTCGGCAAGGCTCCTTTGGAGCTCACTGTAGAAGGCAGCAGTCGGCTCTCCCTTTGGGGCCGAAACACCCATCGAGCGATAATGGCCTGAGTCCGGCGTGCATCCGATGTGATACACTACCGAGGTGAGCACATAGGTGCAGGGCTCTGTGTGAACACCATCGGTGAATGTGGGCACCTGCAATCTGGAAAGAGAGGTTAACTCTGTGTTGCAGTTTTCCTACTTCGCCTCTGAGGTCCCCACTGAATCGCATAAGCTGAATGCTCAGGATCGGTGGGGGTCTGACGAGTGCAGTGACCTCTCCTGTATCTTGCTCGTAGGTCCAATCCTCAATGAGCTGCTGCAAGGTTTTGTTGGGCTTACATGGTAGTGTAATGAGTGGCACAGGGCTCATTCGTTGATGAGCGTGAAGAAGGGGCCCTTCCGTAGATCGGGCTTCCCATGAGCCATGTATGCCTGGCATGCGTACATGGTCAGTGAGGAATGTAAGAAATTCAGCCACGTCGTGTTGCTGATGCATTCTGGGCCATGTCCTGAGTAAGTCAAGCCACGCCTTCCTCCGATAGAGCTGAACCGATCCGTTCGTGTTGAGAAGGGGTCTCGGGAGCTGATGAAGATCTCCAAAGTGAGAATTGCGATCTGAGGCCCGGGCTGTGTAGATCCACATGAGTGCCTGTACTAGTGAATTGAGGTAGCACAGGCTGTGTGGATTGGCAAGAACAAGCAATGGAGGCGGTTCCAGATCAATGTGAGCAGCAACTACCGGATTGTTTGCAGCTCTTGATGGTGCAGCTGCTGATGTCCCCGAGTTCTCAAGCCATTGCTTGAGCGTCCCCTTGTTCCCTGTGTTAGGGATATCCCCTTGCTGATGTGTCAGCCTCCCCGTTTGGGGGCCGAATTTCGGCTTCCCCGGATGGTTTCCTGCCTTCTGACCTCTTCTATCATTGCGTTGCAGGTCCTCTGGCAGTATACCTGCAGGCAGGGCTTCGAGCTGTTTCAGCTTCCCCCTGCTGAAGATGGTTTGTTTCGGGGCCGATGTTGGCTCCCCATTGGGGAGTTGGCCCCCCACAGGGAGGCTATCTGTGCTA